CTTCTGTGCCGTTGCAGGTCCCGGAGGACTTCATCTCCCGGGAGCTCTTTGACACCATCCAGGTGTATGTCATCACAAAACCCGAGCTGCAGAACAAGCTGATCACCGTGTGAGTGTTGGCGAGCTACCCATCCTTTCCCCGTGGAGAGGGGTCCGCTGTCCTCACCACGACTGGGCAAGACTCTGGCAGCGGGAGATGCCAGCTCGGTGATGTGACAGTGCCAGCTCTGGGCTCATGGGGATTTCTGTCCAGGGGTCAGGAGGTTCATTCCAATGCCCACAGTTACCTGTGAGGGGGGGTTGGGTACCTGGTTCTGGGGGTGGCTGGTGCTGCATGTCGTTCTCTGTCAGCCTGAAATGCAGGGAAGTCAAACGAGTCTTGAGAGCTATGCTGGTTTTGAAAGGAGGCTGCTTTCTTCTCTCATGGTTGACTCTTTTTTTTTCCTACCCTTCTTCAGTGTTTTGCACTCTGAGCATTTGGGGATTAGACATAATTTTTCCTGCAAAGCAGAGAAGCACCCACATCCAGAACCGACCAGGAGCTAGCATTGTGCGGGGCTTGGGGCTCAGGCCTCCCTGAGGGCGTAGGTGCAAGTTATACTTGTCTTCCCACAGGACGGCCATGGAGAAGAAGCTGATTGGCTGCCCTGTCTGTATCGAGCACAAGAAGTACAGCCGAAACGCTCTGCTCTTCAACTTGGGCTTCGTGTGCGATGCCAGAGCCAAGGCCTGTGCACTGGAGCCCATAGTGAAGAAGCTGGCTGGCTACCTCACCCCCCTCGAGGTGAGGCCCGAGCCAACGCAAATGGAGGCTGGCTGCCTTGCGATCCACCCCACAGAGTCACTAGTGACCTAGTACATGTTGTGGGGCACTGGGCATTGCTGGCGTAGGAGCCAGGTTTACAGCAAGGAGGGGATTGTGCTGGTTTCAGTTGAAGCTTGAGGGAGGGCAGGAGCAGAGACTGGTGGTTCCTATAGCTGGTAATCCGGCAGGGAGGAGCTGACTTGGTTTTCTGCTCTCTTTAGCTGGAAAGTGGCTTCATCTCCAACGAGGAGAGTAAACAGAAGCTGGTTCCCATCATGACCATCCTGCTGGAGGAGCTGAATGCCAAAGGAAAGTGCACCCTGCCCATAGGTACAGCAGCCGCACTGTCCCGGCCTGGCAGTGACAGCAGGAGAAGGGCAGCACGGTGCTCGAGGCATCTGGGCCATCCCTGCCTGGGTCAGCTCTGCCTATGCTGCTTCTCGCAGCTCCCTGCCTGCCTGCCTGCGCTTGGAGCTGGAGGGCGTCCGAGCCAGCATTGCCCTGGGTGGCTCAAAGGGCCAGGAGGGATGGGGTTATGGGCTGCAAACTCCGTCCCTCGCATGGCGTGATGGTGTCCTGGGGCTGATGGTCGCGAGCTCCCAAGGGAGCAGAGGTTTCTGTGAGACCTGAGTGCTCCCCCTTCCCTGGCCAGATGAGTCCAACACCATCCACCTGAAGGTGATCGAGCAGCGCCCAGACCCCCCCATCGTGCAGGAGTATGATGTCCCCGTCTTCACCCAAGACAAGGACGACTTCTTCAACTCCCAGTGGGATCTCACCACGCAGCAGGTCTGTGTGCTTGACGAAGGGCAGTACGCTTTGAACGGAGTCTGTTGCCAGCCTGTCTCGGAGCGGAGGGGAGTCAGGCCGTCGCCAGAAATCATATTGTGAGCACAGTTCAGTGCTCCCCTTGTCTTTGTTCTTGGGCCTGCGAATGACCCATTCAGCCAAAACGTGGGTTAAATGCTGCTGGGGATGGAGCCTGCCCTTGCCAGTGTGCTTCCAGATGCAGGGGAGTTTCTTGGGCTTTGGGGTGGTGCCTTGGGCCTCTCTGTTCTCTCCCCTCTTCGCTCTCACCTCCTCCCCTCCTAGATCCTGCCGTACATCGATGGTTTTCGGCACGTCCAGAAGATTTCTGCAGAAGCTGATGTTGAGCTGAACTTGGTGCGCATTGCTGTGCAAAACCTGCTGTGAGTGTGTGGAAGGGGGCCTAGCCAGCCCACAGGAGGGGTGGTGGGTGCTGGCAAGAGAGGGTCTCTCACATTTCCCTGTCCATCTGTAGGTACTACGGGGTCGTCACACTTGTCTCCATACTCCAGGTGAGTCAGGCCATGGAGCGTGGGGCTGTGAGCAGGATTCAGGCAGTGCTCCCTGAGTGCTGAGCCGTGGGGGTGGCCATGCAGGGGGGACAACAGGGTTCGGAGCAGGGCGGGTCTGTCTCTTCGGAGCCATGGCTGAAAGGAGCTGGTTTTCCCTTGCCCCCCAGTACTCCAATGTCTACTGCACCACACCGAAGGTCCAGGACCTGGTGGATGACAAGTGTCTCCAGGACGAGTGTCTGTCCTACGTCACCAAACAAGGTACAGTGACCCCGCACCGCACTACCAGTGGAGGCGGAGAGCGCAACTGATGGGTGCCTTGTTCCCACAGGGCACAAGCGAGCCAGCCTCAGGGACGTCTTCCAGCTGTACTGCGGGCTGAGCCCTGGCACGACGGTGCGAGACCTCATCTCCCGCTACACCCTGCAGCTCCAGAGGGTGGACGAGAGGTTGTAGCCAGCACCCTCCTCTTGGTCCCTGAGGGTGGTGGTGGGGTGAGCAGAGGGGGAGCAAGGAGGGAGTATCTGACCCCTGCACCTGTAGGTGTGGAGACTGAGGCGGTGGTGGGGCATAGTGGAACCAGAAGGGAATGGAGGGAGCTGGGGTGTTTGAGACCTCAGCATCGTGGTCTCAGTGTCTTCCTTTCTCGTCCCCAGGAGGCTCATCCAGTTTGGCTTGATGAAGGGCCTTATCCGGCGGCTCCAGAAATACCCCGTCAAGGTTGCCCGGGATGAGCGGAGCCACCCAGCCCGGCTGTACACGGGCTGCCACAGCTACGATGAGATCTGCTGCAAGACTGGTGAGGATCCGGGCTCCCCCATGCAGCTCTCGGGGACGGAGGGAGGCAGGGGGCTGCCTGTGTGCCCAGGGCCACGTGCTGATTTCAGGGTCTCCCTCGCCCCTTTGGGAGCCTTCAGACCACAGGGAGATGGAACTCTGTGTTGGGCTCTGCGCTGAACT